AAGATTTTCCTTATTACATAAGATATATTTATATAGTGAATAAAATTTTTATTATAAAATTATCAATAATTAATTTTAAATAAATTGTTATTGCTTTAATTTTAACTGTAATTTTTAGTTTATTTTAATAATAATAAAAAAAAGAAAAATATATTAATGATGCGGTGTAGCTAATATTATCTCAATTAAACTGCTAAAATTTAATTTTAAAAAAATATTAGCCTATTCTTTATACAATTATTTTTAATTTAACTAATTAAAGGAAGATAAAACTTATTTCAAATTCTTTTTCGTGCGGTTTAATTGATATTTTTAACGATATTCCCACTTGTTATTTACAAATGAAGCGCTCATAAAAATAAACAAGTTTCTATTTCCTGATACAAAGAATGCTATTATTATTTAAACAAACAAACATAAATAATACATTTTAAAATAAATTGTCTATTGTAAATAATATTTTAAGCTTATAATTTATAGATTTGAATGTTTAACTATTGTCTACTAATCATTATAAAGACCTTATTCCTACAATAATCTCTACTATCCTCTATTTGTTTGTTTTCCTCTTAAATTGATTCGAATCAGAATTTCTAGTTCAAGCACTTTCACGAGTACAATATTGCCTTAGGTTAATAATTTTGCTTTATATATTAATTTATATAAATTATAAAGACCTAATAAACATCATTTAATATTGATTAAAATCTATTTCTCGAGTTACGTAAGTTATAATTGAATTTAAAATTTAAATATAGAACATATTACATTTAAAATTTTATAAAAATATTGGTTAAATATTAATTTAATAATTTATTTAAACGAATTTATAATTGGTAAATCGAAACGAATTAAATTTATTCATTTAAGTTAAACTTTTGTTAATGTTGTAGCATCAGATTTCGAATCTTTTCGGATTTCTAACGTTTAAATCTCGAAGAGTTGTTGAACAATCAAAATAATTTGATTACTTCTTCTCCACCATTGAATTTGACAGTTCACTAATATGATTTTCCCCTATTTTCTGCTTTTACTTGGTTAAATTTTCGAAAAGTTAGGCATGATTTGCGTAAGAAAATGTGGCTTATCTTTAAAATGTAATCAATCTGTATTAAATCAAAATAAAAAATTTTTATAGAAACTTTCTTTAAAATTTATCTTGTAAAATCTTCCTACACACGACTTTATAACTTAATTATTAATTATATCACATTTACTATACGAATCAACTAATCCTACAGCTTCTCTATTAATTATAACACGTTTGTTGCATGAACATATTCAATACTATTCATTAGTGATATACATAATAGAAATTCTGTATTAATTATATCACATTTTGCATAAAACTACTTGCAATATATCAAGTCTGTTGACTGAAACTATTCGCTATAGAATTTACATTTTGACTATATTATATTCATTGCATAAAACTATTTATATAAATGTTTCTGCATTAATTATAACACCTTGTAGTATGGAACCTCTCTCATTATAATTAATGTATCACGAATTTTTGGATGAAATTTTGCATATATTTACGATTAATAAAGACATTGTACCTATTTGTTGTATTAGTATTCATTGTTTGGCTTCTATATTAATCAAATCTTGAAGATTTTCCTTATTACATAAGATGTTACACAATGATTTACGCAACATATGTCTAAAGAGTGCCTGAAGCCATTGATACCAGCTCTTGTACGACTATACTACATAAATAAATCGATTTTTGTGTAATTTAAAATGCATTAAACTCTTTTATAAAGTACAGAAAATTATAAAATTTTAAAATACGTTAACGTAAACCGTTACTTCTCGGAAATTATAAACGTGATTTATGAATTTTAAAGCAAGGTCATTTATATTATATCGCACTTGTTCAATAGATTACATTTCAAGGAAGTAATTTTAGTTGTATGATCACAAACAAATTGCGTTGGGGAGCTGATACCACTGATAAAAATCATACCTTCAACAGTTCTGGATACTTTACAAGAAATTCCCAGGAAACTAGTAGATAATATCTATGTTACTTGAAACTGTCAAGATCCATAACGTTAACACTATCATAAGGTTGCAACGTATATCATTTTAGATGGATTTACACAGAGAAAGAGAAAGGACCCATTGTTTTATGTTCGAATCCAATTTTTGATGTTAGTATGTCAACTGAGTGAAAAGTGAGTTGGAAAAGCAATTGTACATTTTCCAGACTGGAAACAAAAAATAAAATGTACAGTACATACATTTATATCGATTTATGGTTCCATTTACTCTAAAATTAAGGTTTTAAAAAAATTACCAGAAATTATTTTTGTCCAAATTCTAAAAATATTAACAATTTTAAGTTGAATTTTATGAAGAAAAATTTTTAAAAATTCTTTTGATAAATCAATTTTTTAGTAAGAAAAAAGAAATAGTTGAGAGAATTTGTTTCTATTTTTAGATTTTCTTTTTGGTTCTGTCGTTTAGATATTTTCGTTACTATTTATAAATCTACTAGTTTTAATCTTAAATAAACATACTTATACGTGTATATATATACAACATCTTTAACGTTTAAAATTATCCAAAAAAAATTAATATTACTTTATATATATATATATATAAATGTAGTTAACAGTAATTATAAAATAAAATTAATTATATAAAAACTACAGGAAGTTATCACACGATTATGTAATTTGATATTAACACGTAATATGGATACTATAAATTAAAAAATAAAAGAAATAAATAAATTACACGCCTAGTATGATGGACAAGGTCTCTGGAAATTGTCTAGATGACCTATTTAAATATTTAAAACCATATTTAGAACAGATTAGATTATAGAAAATATTCGTTCTTAGAAACGAAAGGATGATATTCGACTCCTTAAAAACTGGAAGGCCTCATGACACAACTATCTTTCAGCAAATGCTTTAAGGTTTTCAATCTGACTTTTTTTCCCCTTTTTCTTTTCTTTCTTCTAACGTATAAAAATCTATACTTACAGTTTCCAAGACGTCGGATCGAACAGGACCATTTAAATGTAGAAACAATTTTACTGTCTCGATAGTTTAGATGGATCGTTTATATCAATCTGTCCTCCTCTCTTTTTTATATACATATATATATATAAAACATTAAAGTCAGTGTCCTCTGTAAATGCATCAAAAGACATGAAGACAATTGTATTTTCTGAATTAATGTACTATTTTCATCCAGTCGTAACGAATATCTAAGTTTCCGTATCTTAATGTTACTGTAAAGGAATAAATTCAAGCATTCATTGAATGGTCTTATCATTAAGAAGGTTATGGAGTGTTTCAGTTTGTTTTCTATTATATTGCTATCTATTGTATATCGGTTCTGCATTGAACCGTTCGTATGATAATTAAAGCGGAACTGAAGGATATACATTGATCGATCGATTTATACATTTACAAACTACCAATAGTTACGACATCCGTTGAGATAACGCAACCAAACACATGTGTAGAAACGATAGGGTAACATCTGCAGTTATTGACGGGTCGAAAATGCTATTTATCCTTTAAAAATTTATATTTTTCCTTTATCTTTTGCTTAAATATCAACGATTGAGTAAAGGGTAACTTAAATTAATTGCGCGTTATACGTTGTAAATTCCTCCCTTTCTTCTTATCCGAACTTCCTAAAACGAGAGTGAGTTAAGGTAGAGAAGGAATCTTTCGTTTGTAATAGGTCTCTCGATGGGGAATATTTGGATATCCTACAAGAGAAATCGCTGATAAATCATATTTTCGACATGATGTATAGAATAAGAAGATAAAACTCAAAGATTGCAACTTTAGTACTTGTACTTTATCTCCTTCCTAGAACGTAAATCTCTTTCATTTATCAAATTAATACTTATATTAACTTAATACGATCAGATTTATCTAAGAATATAATAGGTTTTTATATATATATTTCCATCCCTCTGCACGCAATTCCACTTCGCGTATTTATATACAGGATACGAACAATTCTCAGATCCTAAGATAATTCTTTATTTATAAATAAATTTGAGGATTAAATTTAAAAATAAATAACCAGTTTCTCTGTTTTCATTTTAAGTTATTGTCTGTAACCTTTAAAAAAAATCTAATTTTTTTTTTATCTATTTTTGTCTCTTATCTTAAAGTATTAAATAACTCAATCTTTCTCTAAGCCGTTGCCTGCGGTTGGACATATAAATCCTATATTTTTCTTTAGAAATAAAAATAGATATCGTGTTAAACCTCTCATTTTTTACCTTTTTTTTTCTTCTTAAAAAACGTTTTTATTTAACGATAACATAATTAAAAATAAAAAAAATGTAATAGAAGAAACATTATATGAGTTAAAACTATTAATGAAAGCAATTTTTTTTCTAAAATTTCAATATGAAAAGAAGGCTACGTACATTTTTCTATAAATAAAACTACATAATAAACTAAATAATAATAATAATAATAACATA